TTTACCATTTGTACATGCTTTAAATATTGCTAGAACAAATGAAGCCATAAAATAATCAACAATATTATTGATCCTGGTCTGGCATCTCTGCTTCAGTCAATTTCCCACCGCCGGAATATAGCTTCCATGTGCTTTTTCTATAATTACTTTCATGGTAATTGTTCGTATGAACTCTTCGCTATGATACGTAGACTTTATGAATTTAAGCGCAGTACTAGATTGGCTGCAAGGTCTCATCAATTCACAGTTGAATTGGTTAGATGTAACTGTAAGTTCTATGTTAACAGTTTATTTCCTCGCTTGTCGAAATCTCTTCTGACTCCATGTTTTCCAGCCAACTTCGATCTTCCAAAATTTAAATGCAATATCAATTATCTCCCTTTCCTTTTGATTCCTCTTCTATTGTTATCGCTCCTTCATAATATTTCTCTTTTACTTATTCTTTCACACTCAGTAACCCCTTGAGTCTTATTGACTCTTTACCTTGCATGAAGTTGATATGATTAAAAAAGAGGGGACTGAGGTCGACACCTAGCGGTGACAGTTTGTATCATGCTTGAACGTAAACGTCAAGCTATGAACATTGCGTTCAAGCAAGAAACAGACAGTCCCTGTTAGGTGTTGACTCTAATGTCCACTTTTATATTTACGCGTACGCACTCTACCTGATTTTGAGCACTTTTACCAATAAATATAGAACATATTAAAACTATATTTTTATCACACACACATAAATATATATATTTAAAATGTGTGTATTTAGGCAGCAAATTTTCTTTTAGATATGTCTGATTGAATAAATTACAGACATTGTGTCTGCTAATTTTTCAGAAAATCCATTCATACTCACGAATAACCATCCGTGTATTGGTGATAATGGAATGAGAGAAATGTGCTATAGTTGTTTAAATTTATTTTATTTTAATTTCCCAAGTACATTCTACCTTCTTCCAAGATCATCTTCAGTGGTGCAAGTCATACAAAACTATATGTTGTCCATTAATATAAGTATTATACAAAGTTGTGCGTTGTTATCCATTACCGTAACTTTTCATTGTGCTTTTAAATGCAAGACGGTTGATAATGAGCTCAGCGTTCATTAGAAGGTGAAAATGTATCCATTATGTAATTTTTCCACTATGTTATAATGTCATGGTCACGCCCGCATTAAAGCGTGAAAAAACTGTTCCTTTACAGGCATTTCAGAACATTACTGCAGTAGTCATAGTTGATTCTGTCCTGTGCCGGCTTTAATATTTTGATATAAATTGCTTCTAATATCTGTAATCTAAATTTGTTATATTCATGTTGTAGGATAGCTGTGTTGTCGATTAGTAATTCTTTATATTGTGAATGTGGACAAGAATGTTGTTGTAGACTTTTTGCAATGGACGAATGATAAGACATGTGTAATGTAAGCCTTCTTATTAGTGTATTTGTCGTATAATTTTCCTAAATATTTGTTTTTTCGTTGTTGGAGATACATTCTCCCAAAGGAAAAATTTAAATTGGTATATAATGTTGGTTTTACGTTTTTGTATTCTATTTTTATAATATATGATGAATATTATTTTTATTAGAATCCTTGGACGATATATCAGTATAAATAAAATTCTTTATGATTCTTTCATCCTGTTTGTAGTTAGCATGCATCTGGTTGCAATATATATTTGATATATTTAGTGTCTTTTGGGGAAGTATTATATTCTGTTTGACGTGTGTTGAGTTTTTTTTTTATATATCTTCTTATTTGTTCTTTCTTTAATGTGGTTAGGGAAGTCATTATTAACAAGAGTTAAGTGTAGAAAATCTTTTTTGTGGAGGTGTTAATTTGTACTCGGTTAATTATATATATCAAAGGAAAAAAGCCCTCATATGCAAAGCATTCAGTACATACCTTGCATTTTTCCAGCATAAATAATGATGTGTAATATGTAATTAATTATTGATAATCGTTAGTCACTTAACGTTTTTGTCTGAAGATATATAAAGTAGTACAGAAATATGATAGGCTATTGTGTAGTGATTTCCAACCGTTTTTGTTCTAATATCTAAAATAAAGTAATATACTGCTCTACTTGGTACTGAGCACTTTGAAAAAAGTAAATGCTACAAACAGCGGAATTTTACTCTATGTGTTTTTTCTCTCATTTGATATATATATATATATATATATATATATATATATATATATATATATCGCATAGTCAGTGCTGGTATTAACAAGATAGGGCTTGATGCAATATAACAGAGTTATAAACTATATATTAATAAATATACATATTTATTTTTACAGGTAGCACGAGTTAACTCAGCACCTGAAGGTTGCGTTGTGCATGAAACTCCGAGTCGTGAAACCGATGAGGATAAATATGTATATTTATTAATATATATCTATATATATATCTCTATCTCTCTCTCTCTATATATATATATATATATATATATATATATATATATATAATGTTGTTCTGCTGAAGGGATAGTAAAATCAACATTCGTTTTAAACATCTGAGATAAAAGCGTTGGTTAAATAGATGTAGTTTCTCGGGGGTCGTTAGATCCATATCTGTGTCGAGTAGTTTAGAAACGTCCATTATAGTCTATTTCAGTGGTAGAGACAAGCATTATCACTGGGTCTAATTAAATAGGAAGGGTTAGCTAATATGAAAATTTTCTCTAGCATGGACAGTAGAATAATTTTAATTCTTGTGTTGGGTAGTCCAAAAATGTCATACCCTCTAGTTTACATGAAAAGAGATAAACAAAATATCACAAGGAGAAATTAAATGATATGAGATGCTGTTTTGTCATGGACAGAGAAATGATAGCAACCAGTATATGTCGAAAGAAAAACAATCGGTTCGAATTTCACAGAAGGTTACAAATTACAAAAGAAACCTGAAAAAAAAAACCTGAGGATACAACATTCGAATCATTGTGACATGATAACAACCAAATAGAGGACACCAATTCTAATAAATCAGTTTATATATAGAATATATCTATTAGAAATTTTGTTTTACGTTAAGCAAAAGATTGTCGTGACGACTAAAGTAAATTTCAAACAAATTCCTATTCATTCAAGAAAGAGAATTAGGTTAAGTGATTCCTTTGTTGGAAACCTTTTTTTTTAAATCTAGCCAGACATTAGAGGACAAAAATAGGAATTATTCTATTGATTTAATATGCAATTTTCCCCTCATCTTTTGCTTCAGGTTGAAGTAACAATTCCCATACGGTTTTGTTTTGAGATAACGAAGTACTCTTAAGATGAGGTTTAGTCAGTATTCAACAAATCCGACAGAAGCAAGCATAAGTTGGAAAGTTCTTTGTGTCTCCTTAAAACCAACGAATAAAATAAAAGGATTTATTCATTGAGTTTAATCAATTAATATCATTCGAATTGTTCATCATTATCCGAACGAGCACTGCAACAGCAAAATCAACTTTCCGAAAACAAAACAAGGTGCGTGAAAACAGGGAAATCTCCAGAGAAACAAAGATACAACAATAGCTGAACTGCCATGTAATATCAATGCCAATATATAGCAGTGAAGATTTATCAATTGTCTCACAGTTGAAGAAATATGATTCTACACAAGCATGATAAGAATACCACGAACGGAATGTTTAAGCAGCAAAATAGCCTTAAAATTAAAAATCTCTATCTATAAAAGGCAGGATGTGTGTGTGTGTGTGTGTGTGTGTGTGTGTAAAAATGCACGGCCGCAATTTTCGACGGATTTGCACCAAAATTTACTTGCACATGCTGCAAGTTAGCAGAAAGGCCAAGACCGACATTGCATTTCCCAACTCCCATCGATAGTGGAAATAATCGATTATTTCATGCTTCTACGGCAGTTTGCATGTAGTTTACGGCCATTCTGTACTGGCCAGAGTGAGAGCCAATAGCTGGCTGTCACGAATAGGCAGGGAGATTCTATTAGCCAGCGTGAGAGCCAACAGCTGACTGACACGAATATTAACTAGCATGCTAGCATGAAAAAAAAAAGACCGGTAGCTGCATTCGTTACAAGTGGGAAAAATTTAAATCTGCATGGCACTTTACTCCAATTGGCTAATTCGCTTGCTTAAACTCAACGTTGATTCTGATTCCGCAGAACTGGGTTGGGTGTGAAAACGTATTTGTTGTTAACATTCTTTTTTCATTAGGTTTTTCCAGTTACGAGTTTTTTTTAAAGCTGATCGTTTTGTGTTCATTTTGCTTAGTTCTTTTTTCGTAACAGATTTAATGTTTATTATAGAGCTTAGAAAAAATTCGCAGTGTGAGATAGGCAAGAAGTAAGGCATTTAGCAACATCAGCATGGCAAAGGGCACACCTTTAAAGGCAAGGAAGGGTAAAAATATTTTAAGTCAAGTGATAGCGATTGCTGTATGAGTCGTACGATTTTTGAATCAAGCACGGGCAACGCCGGGCCATGCTGCTAGTAATTACAAAAGGATTCTGGCCATTCTGTTTAGTCGTTCAATGTTGAAGAGCTTATCTGAAATTCTGGCATATGGTACTTTAACTTCAATGATAATAGTAAATATTACGGAAGCATCACACCTATGGAGATCTGACATATTGGAAACCTATTTTCTTCGTACAGAAAAGAACCAATGATGAAGGGAGAATGTATTGTCAGTATTCCAAGTAAGGAAAGATTACCTTGAAAATCACTATGCAATATATTAGTTTCTAAATAGAAATATGAACTAACAAGAACTAACCGGCCTATATTGATTCATCTGGAGCGTATTTCCAAGAATGGCGCTCCAAATGAGGACCGATTGCACAATAACAAGAATGGTCTGGTCTGTGAGATTGGATTGCTTAACATTATTCTACTGTGTAGCATCCTTAACAACTATTTTTTTTTAATCTCTATCCTCTTGAAACTAAATAACGGATATTTTTTAAGACATAGTTGTAGAACAACCAATAAGAAGCGAAATATCGTATCATCTTAAATGTATATAGTTTTTATCTCACCGTTACATTTGGTATAAAATTTCTTGTCCCGTCAGACGAATGCTGCAAATCATCAGAGAATCCCAAGCCATCCACCAATATGTTGTCTTTGGTTAATGCAAGAACAGCGCGGAAGATGAACGAGAGAAACAGATTAACGTGGATTGTGTTGCGCCGACATCGCAGTTTCCTGAAAGAAAAGTTTCAGATTTGTGTGACAAACAATTCTTCTAACATTTAATCACACCTTATTTTTGAAAACTCATCAAATTATTTTTATAGAACACAAGTCAAAAGAAAAAAAACAATTCAAGTGCCTTTAGAATTAGTAAAACAATTTGGTTGATAAAGTCTTTAGCCACCCAAAAGAAGTGGTATATAAACAATAATACACAAAACAAGCGATATATAAATAATACTATATATATACCCAATTATATATATATATATATATATATATATATATATATATATATATATATATATATATATATATATTAAAAAGAAGAGAAGAGAGGTGCCGCAAACGTTTTTGTTTGTAATGTGGATTTATTTAGAAAAAATATTATGCTTTGTTTTACATACTTTTTTACGACACGTGTTTCTGGTCTCGCGACCGTCTTCAGGTAAAAGTGGAGATTTCTACATATTATTAAAAATAATTAATTTTTCTTCATGTTCAATGTGAAATATTCTCGATATGAGACATTCTCTGTGTGTTGGTAATCCGAATTTTTTCTAGAATTGTCAATGAAGAGTTCTGCGCGAAGGGTAACTCTTCAGTGACAATTCTAGAAAAAAATTCTCTTCTTTTTTAATATACATACTTTTCTCTCGTTGGAACCACTACAACATATTTCTTTTATATATATATATATATATATTTTGATTATAGTGGTGATTATAGTGGTGAAGATATATATATATATATATATATATATATATATATATATATATATATATATATATTATAAGCGTTTCACCCCAAGCAAGGCGGAAAGCCACTAGGACGCAAGAAGTTACAGAAAATTTGGAGCAAGATCAGATAGGAGTGATAGAAAAAGGATGAGGAGAAGAGTAGTGGATAGATCAAGGCAACTGGAGACACAGAGGCCAGTGAGAGAGAAAGAGAGAGAGGGAGAGTGCAGAAACCCCTTCCTAAACAAGAAACAAGGCGTAAGCCTCTACGCATGTCCAAGAGAAGGGGAGGAGGTTGATATATATATATATATATATATATATATATATATATATATATATATATATATATATATAATCAAAATATATTAGTGATTGATAGTGCAAGAATTAGAAACTAAGTGATCAGAAATTATTCAACGATTATTAATAATTTAATATTATGTTTAAAAAGGGGCTAGATTTATGAGGTGATGAATTTTTTGTTTCATCTCCAGCGCTAACAATCAACAAACAATTCTAATGTCCTCATCTTTGTCGCCATATTTATTACAACGTTTCGGCCGTTGTACTCTCCGGCCTTTTTCAGGTGGTTGGAATGTCAAACTTAACACTTTATTTCGCTCACTGGGGTTGACTGCTCTAGTTCCACTGTGCGTTTGGTGTTGATGTATTCCTTTTTTAGCCATGATGGAAACCGATCGCTGAAACACAATTTTATTTAAAAAAAAAAATTATTTTTAAAATATATGTGACGAAAATGTCTTCTGTTTTAAAAGGTAAAGCGATAAAAAAACCCAAAAAATTAATGTCAGCTGAAAAATGATACGATTTGGGGAGTTTATAGAATTTATTCCATCGAAATAATAATGATTTTATTAGATTGATTCTGAATCTATTTTTGTTGATTTTACAAGAAAGGATTTTGAAGTACAATTTTAGTTACTCTTATGTTTAATGGTGACGAAATCTGAAGTAGAATTTGTAGTTAAAAAAGGGGTCTTAATTAAATCCGTAATGCTACTAAGATGCAAGCGTTTATTGGGAGTGGAGGAGAATGAGAAGAATTTAATGAGGAGAAAGAACAATAAAAGAATCTTTTTTCATGATGTCAGCACATAGCGATAATGCCACCAAGATGCAAGGGGTTACTGGGAGTGAAAGAAAACGAAAAGACGTTAGTGAGTAGAAAAGACAATAAAATAATCAGGTTTCAGGAAGATAGAAGATGACGACAATGCCAGTAAGATGCAAGGGGTTTCTCGATGTGGGAGAGAATGAGATGATTTTAGTGAGGAGAAAGGAGAATAAAAGAAGAGGTTTCAGGAAGAATGAAGATGGCGATAATGCAGCTAAGACGCAATGGGTTACTGGGAGTGAAAGAGAATGAGAAGATTTTAGTGAGTAGAAAAGACAATAAAAGAACGGAGTTCAGGAAGAGAAAAGATGGTGTTAATGCCGCTAAAATAAAAGTCGTTATTGAAGGTGAAAGAGAATGAGAAGACTTTAGTAAGAAGAAAGGAGAATAAAAGAACAGGATTCAGGAAGACAGAAGATGGCGATAATGCCACAAAGATGGGAGTGGTTACTGGAAGAGAATGAGAAGACTTTATGAGAAGAAAGGCCAATAAATGAACAGTGTTCAGGAAGAGAGACGATGGTGACAATGCAATTAATACACAAGCGGTTACCGGAAATAAAAGTGAATGAGAAGACTTTAGTAAAAAAGAATGACAATGAAAGAATCAGGTTTCAGGTAAGTCAGAAAATGGCGATAATGCCACTGAGAGACATGGGGTTACTCGGAGTGAAAGAAAATGTGAAGACTTTAGTGAGTAGAACGGACAATAAAAGAACAGGTTTCTGGAAGATAGAAGATGGCGACAATGCCAAAAAGGTGCAAGTGTTACTCCAACTGGAAGAGAATGAGAAGAAAGGATAATAAAAGAACAAGATTCAAAAAGACAGAAGATGGTGAAAATGCCACAAGTGGTTACTGGCCGTGGAATAGAATGAAAAGACTTTAGTGAGTAGAAAGGACAATAAAGCAACTGGTTTCATGAAGACAGACGATGGTGATAATGCCAGTAAGACGTAAGTATTTACTGACAGTGGAAGAAGACTTTAGTGAGGAAAAAGGTTGATAAAAGAAGTGTGTTCAGGAAGACAGAAGATGCCGATAATGCAACTAAAATGTAATGTGTTACTGGAAGTGGAAGAGAATGAGAATTCTTTATTGAGGAGGAAGGAGAATAAAAAAAGGTTTCAGGAAGACAGAAGATGGCGACAATGCCACTAAGACGCATGGTTTTACTGGGTGTGGAAGAAAAGGAGAAGACTTTAGTGAGCAGAAACGACAATAAACCACAGGGTTCAAGAAGAGAGAATATGGCGATTGACGCTTGAAAAGGTGTTTGTTTAGAAAAGTACAGTAGCGTCCAAAACTAAGGGACAACATTTTAAAACCTAATATTTGTTAGAAATAACAACTGTGAAAAGCTGAAATTTTGACAACTGGTAGTCGTTATCATCCATAATAACATACTAAAATTTGAATCATTTGCAAAGGATAGAAAAAGAATTATAACAATTATTTATTTATTTTCAAATTTGGAACGTCCAAAAGTAAGGGACAAAATGGAGAAAAACAATGTAAACGGCAAAAAAACAATAAAAATACATGTACAATCAATATTTAGTAAATGAGCCCTTGCTCTCAATGACAGCTGCACATCTTCGACTACAAGAACGAATCAGTGCTTGACAATCCTCGATACTAATTTTAGACCATTCTTCTTGAAGCTTCACCCACAAATCCTCCATGTTAGTGGGATTTCTTTCCATAACTTTCATTCGTAATGTCTTCCAAAGATTTTCAATTGGATTTAATTCAGGACACTGCGGTGGCCAATCCATAATTTCCAAATCTTGCTCGCTAAGGTAACTCATTACCACCTTTGCCTTGTGACATCGGGCATTATCTTGCATAAAGGTAGCCCTATCGAAACCTGAATTCTGTATGATTGGCACAACATGATCTTGAACAATGTTTTTATAGATCTGTGCGTTTACACGACTTTGTAACCGGACAAGAGGCGTTGTAACTTGGCTAGAAAACATTCCAAATACCATGACGCTTCCGCCCCCAAACTTGACAGTTTTCTTAGTACACTTTGCACTTAATCTTTCACAAATACGTCTCTTTACATTGTTTTTTCCATCATTTCCAAATAAATTAAACTTGCTTTCATCACTGAAAAATACTTTTGCCCAATTTTCATATGTCCAAATTACATACCTGTTTGCAAACTCTAATCTCTTCTTCTTATTCTTCGAACTAACAAGTGGTTTCTTCCCTGGGGTTCGATTAAATAACCCTATTTCTTGCAGTCGTCTACAAACAGTCTGTCTTGACACATTAACACATGAGGTACTATTCATAACACATTTAATTTCTGTGCAAGACTTAAAAAGGTCCTTTAATGACATACGCTGCATTATTCGATCTTCTCTTGCCGAAGTTTTGCGGGGTCTGCCGGTTTTAAAAGCACTAACTCTTTTGCCAGTATCATTGTAGGATTTAACAACCCTGCCTACAATACTCTTAGAACGTTTCATTTTCTCTGAAATCTCTCTAATGGTGTGCTTTTCCTTGTGTAGCTTCACAATATTGTGTAGCTTGTCTCACAGAGTAATCAAGTTTTTGGCGTTTCGCCATGGTGCCGGCTGATGCAACGTTTACAAATGACTAAGTAAGACTTATTCTTTAGAGGAAATCAAAAAAATTTGAATATAGCATACTGTTTACATTGTTTTTCTCAATTTTGTCCCTTACTTTTGGACGATCCTATTTTGAAAATAAATAAATAATTGTTATAATTCTTTTTCTATCCTTTGCAAATGATTCAAATTTTAGTATGTTATTATGGAGGATAACGACTATCAGTTGTCAGCTTTTCACAGTTGTTATTTCTAACAAATATTAGGTTTTAAAATTTTGTCCCTTAGTTTTGGACACTACTGTATATTGAAGTTCAACATATAACGAGTGATGATAGAAACTTTAAATTTTTAACGAAAATCTTAAATTTTCCAATTTCATAATTAATTTTACTTTTTTTTATATATTGATAAGCCAATCATTACGATCAGTGATATGTGGCAAAATGCCATCTACAGTCTCGTAACAAATGCGCATTTCATGTTATGCAAGAAGTAATACGCTCACACTTAGAATCGTTGAATGCCACAGAAGAAAGAACTTTATTAATTTGATAAAATACAAATTATTACAACCAGTAATATAAACTCTAGCATTTGCGTAAGGGCACGATTTTTCGGGTGCTCACGAGTAGCTATCAGCAGTCGTTCTAGGATTAAACCACCGTACGACAAATCCTTCGGCTGCCAAGAAATATGCGATGCGATAAACTAATGTGAGCTTTCCCGACAAATATGAGTTCATAGATGAATAATTGTGGTACTAATTGAAGACAGTCTTTATCAGAACTGTACTTTGGGTTAATGGTGTAAGGACGACTTTTTGATGATTCTATATTTTTGAAAAATTGGGTCATAAATTATACGTGTGTCGTAATCCTTAATAAAAGCGATGGCCCCATGATGCATTGTGGGAACACAACAAGCTAGAGATCACAATTTGGAAAATGTTCTGCAGTGAAATGCTCGGTCTTCTTATTCTCGTAGAAGACGCTTGCTTGCTTACGACTTACTTCTGTATCATTGAAAAAAAGAAAAAAAGAAAGAGAAATGCTTTCATAGCAACATTATTCTGCGATGGCTTCTTTCAGCTTGTTTATGAGCGTCGCCACACTGCACGAGCTTTAAGGCCAGTTTCTGGAAGATGAAGAAGACTTCACTTTGTTGTCATGGAAATCAATGTTTCCAGTTTTAAAACCAGCAAGAAAAATGTTCTAATTTAACTATAGATATGTGTTTCGTCTAATTGTACTTGACTATATTAAGGCATCAATCATATAAAACTCTCTCTCTCTCTCTCTCTCTCTCTCTCTCTCTTGACATATGGAAGCTATATTATTTTATTACGATTTCTCAGTGTTTTCATTAAAGGTCGATGTGTAAATTTACTTACAACGATTGAAATGATTGTCAAAGAAATAAGTTAAGTATAATATGGATTGAAGTCATTTTAGAAGAAATGATTTTTCACTCTTTATTCGTATTGTTTTAAAAGTAGAACAACAAAAATAAAAGGTATTTAACTCTCTCTCTCTCTCATTAAAGGTCGCGTGTAAATTTGAACTGTAGTTGGTGAGGTGACTGATCGGAAAATTTTTGCTAAAAAGCTATGCTCAAGATATGAAGAATTGACGGCCATATCATTATGATGAATGTCAGGAATGTACAGAATCTAAGCAAAAGCAACAGAGTGGACTATGTAATTCATATGGAGAGTTTCGCATTGCACTTGGTTAGTTTCCAATTTATATAAAGGCCGACCAGGATTGTCTAGATATCAGGCGGGGTCCTTTATCGCATTTATATGAATAATCAGGCTTATTTATCCTCTATTTGTAATCGCCATGTTGCGTTAAAATTCGAATATTAATAAACTAAACTAAAACAAATCAACGTTTGAAGATGATGAATAAACTTATATTTTTAAGGTAAGAAGCTTTCGAGATATTTTCATTGCTTTGTTGTTATTTTTAGTATTATTATTAATTGCCAACTTGAAATGTAATTTAATATTGCGAAATTTTTAAGTTTCTTTTTTTTCATCGTATTCTGTAGAAGAGTCTGTGTATGGCGAGAGTGTTCATTGATGCACAAAGCAAGAAAACACACCGCGGACAGAGATTAAAAAAAAACAGCGAGAAAGGGTGTAATTATTTAATAATATTCAGAAAACGATGCGTACAGATCTCCCCCCCCAAAAAAAAAAAACAAACAATTAAAAACAGAATAAACTAAGAAGAAAATAGAGAGAGAGAGAGAGAGAGTTTTGTCACCTAACCATATCTCGCGGTGAGATAAACAATATCATTTACTAGGACAGTGCTCATGGGTTCAGTACTCATTGTGTGATGATAGAGATGTATGGCGCCTGTTTGAAGGTTCTGCCTTGTAGCTGAGATAGTTCAGTATTTCTCATTAGACCTGAGGGTTTAGGTTTTGAACCCGAGTAGAAAAAAATGTACTTCGAATATTGAATTTCAAGACATTCATTTGGAAGACTGACGCAGTACAGAGTTTTCTCTGCAGAAACTTGACCCTCTCTCTCTAAGATTAGCATATATCAGTAGATAAATGTAAACAAGAGAGATAGAGAAAGAGAGGATGAGGAAAGAAATAATGGAAAAAGAGAAAGAAAGAGAGAATGGGGAAAGCGAGAAGGGAGAAAGAGAGGCGGAGAAAGAGAATGGGAAAAGAGAGATAGAAAAAGAGTGAATGGGAAAATAGTGATAGAGAAAGAGGGAACATGGAAATAGAGAATGGGGAACGCGAGAATGGCGAAAGAGAGATTGGAGAAAGAGAGATTGGAGAAAGAGAGATTGGAGAAAGAAAGAATGGAGAAAGAGAAAATAGCAAAAGAGAGATAAAGAAAGAAAGTAGGGGAAAAAAGAATGAAAGAGAGAGATACAAACAGAGAAAAAAGAAAGAGATATAAAAAGGAGAGAATGGTGAAAGAGAGAATGGGGAAAGAAAGAGGGTTTGACATATAGAAAGAGTGAGAGGAAGAGTTAAGTTGAGAAAGCAGAAAGAAGAAGGCAAAAGTGAAATGAATCTGTTTTCCTTCAGGCCCATTTGCGTGTATTCCTATCGCTGTAATATGATTATCGCTATCGACTTGCAGCAAATTCATTCAAACAACATTGTCAGCAAACGTGAAATAAGATAAACGTCTTTGGACATCGAATAATTTTTTCCATCAATTTTCATACAGATGAATGAACTAAAAGTCGAGAAATGATACTCAAATCAATATTACCGTGCCATAATTAGTCAGGTTTCTCACCTTATCAGCTATAGGGGCATTTAAAAGTTTATTATTTGGGTCTAATTCTGAAAAATCGCGCCAAATATTTCGATGTCTTAATCTCATGGTCAATCTATAAATATGAATACCATATACATCCGTATATAAGTCGACATTGCCAAACCGTTACGGAGTGTTCAAACATGAACAAACCAGTAACTTCCGAGTATCGATTAGTGACTTGCAGCATCAAACTAAAATTGGCATGGCCGAAAAAAAACAAAAACAAAATAAAACAAAAAACAAAAAAAAACAAAAAACAAAACAAACTAAGAACTGTAAAAGATATAATTTAGAAAGCCTATTTCAAGCGAGACTTTACCAAGAGATCAACTCAACATTTAACAACTGAACAAAAATCATATTTCGCTAAAGGAACCTGTCCACACACCTTGGTCGGTAACCGAAACCAAAGATGTCATTGAAAAGAAGCAGGATACTCGTGGCACAATATGCAGTTGCTACAAATTTACTAAAGCTGAGACCAAAAAACAGGGTAAAAAAATAAAAGTCAAGCACACAGAGGAAGAACTTGTCTCTTTGATTAGTCAACAACTAAATAAGCTATACTGTACGGAAATCAAAATTTTGAAGGCTATAAACCCTCAAAACAGCAACTGAAGAAAAGTGCGATAGTCCATGATAGCAATGATTTAAAACAATGAGTAAAGTGCAGAACTTAATATCTAGTCAGAATATCTTAAAGCTGTCAGTAAATCATTATTAAATGACCTTACATCTCATATTCGACTGTGTTTAATCAGTGGCGTGGTAACTTGAGCTTTCAAAGAAGCGATCCGAGTATTAATGTTTCAAGAAAGACAGATATTTAGATTGTAAAGAACTACTATCATCTGTTTACGTATATCAGTTATTCATCAGTATCATCGCAAATTGTGTCAAAAACGATCGGTATGCATTTCTCTCAGAATCTCAGGCCGAATACAAACCTTGAAAAGGAACAATCCATCAAATAAAAAAAAATCGTTTTCATTGACGTTACTAAAGCTTTTTATAGCTGCAAATTACCTTTACTTGTGAAAGACAGAATCAGAGGAAATATAAATAAAAGAATAAACCTTCTTAAAACTACGTATGATAACCATGAGACGTTAATATAGAGATCGGTATTTTACATTCTGTAAATATTTTAAAAGGAGTAAAATCAATGGAATATTCTATCTGAATTTCTCCTCTTCTTAATTGTAATCGTTTCAATTATACATAAAACAGAATCCATTAGTAAATCAAGTGATTCAATTGGTGGTCACCTCCTTTCAAGCCTCGGATTTGCTGTTGATATCACTACTGTGAATGACGCGAATTAAGATCTATGAAGAAAGGTAGCAATACGTTTGTCAAAAATACAGATGAAGTGAGTTTGATTATAAATAAAAAAAACTGCATTGCAACCAATAAACATAATGTCCCTTTCAAAATAACAATTTATGGAAAACTGAATTTAAATTAAAGTAAATGAATTTGTCTATCTTAGCCACAATCTTTCATCTCTGAATGAAAGTTGAGTTTCTGCTCGACAGTGAATAGATATTGGCTGGGCAGCTTTTGAAAAGAAGAACTCATTCCTAACCTCCTCTCTTATTCCCCACAACCCAACATTTAAAACACGTATTCTTCCTATACTGCTTTACTGCCTGGATTATGTAAACCGGACTATAACTCTATTTAAGATAGTGGAAACATTCCAGAAATTTCGTCATCTGATTGCTGACCAATTCTTGACTAACAGATCGAATAAGGATACAGACCCTTCTGGGCACAACTAAACTCTGCAGTGAATTCTTTTGTGAGTGCGCATCTTTCTATAGGAGGAGTGTGTTCTATGATGATTTTGTGGTTCAAATCACATTATCAATCTATAAATATGGTAACCATATATAATCATATATTTGCACCTTGGCTTTTTGACCAAGAAGAATTAATTAACAAATCAAATGCAATTTTGGGAAGTAATAGCAAAAGAAGATATTAAAAAAAAAACATATCTACATAAACATCTTGTTGGTTTGATCTTGATACAATGAAATAAGGAGTCTGCATTGACATTGGTAACAGCACTCAGCTATTCGGGTATTGCGGTAAATAATAAAAATGTTTATTTAGAAAGTACAATCTGATGTACCTATCTACATAGGTCATTTGACCATACCTCATATTTCTTGTTAAAGCGGCATTTTGTATTATACAAAGCGACTTGAAACGGCCATTCTCCGTGTTACCATGACAACATAATATCTAATTTCTGAGTAGCAAGATGAGGTTGTTAATACTTTTTGGCATTTAATGGAAACCTGAATGGCAAAATGACATACCACAATATAATTATTATTTATATCATTTAAACTCGGACTAATCTCTGTTGGTACTATCACAACGTTTCGACCGTTTTGCCAACCAGTCTTCTTCAAGTGTCTTTTCCTCCGAGTAACCTTCAAGAAATTCCAAACCGAAATTTTTATTTAACTTATAGGAGTAATGTATTCTCCTTCCACTGCGCATATCTATTCTTGTTCTTATTTAATATTCTCCCTGTTTCCACAGAATATGTACTGTTCGACCCAGGGATTGAGCTCATAATTATTGTGGAACCAAGGTTACGAAACAGATTGTTGTTGCTGTTTGTAAAAGCAAATGTGAGCAACACTATGTATGTCTGATCCATCGTTCAGCCTGTTCTGCTACGATTCCAGCGTGATGAAGGCGTGATTCTGTTGTAATAGGTTAATGCCCGCCTACTTGTCTGGACTTTGTTAGTGATAAGAACGCATTTTTACACAAGGATTCGAAATTAAAAAGTTTCCACTCCTCTACAAATTCTAATATGTCCGCATAAGTCTAACTTTTTAGATCTCATAAACAAAAGAAGAACGAAAATAAAATTGAATTCACATTTGTAAAAGAAATAAATAAAAAATTAACTTTCCTTGAGATTCTGTCAATTCGAGCTAATATCAGTTTAAAACTAAACGCCTACCGTAAGTCAACAAATAGAAAGTATCTGATAATTTAAAAAAATTCTTTGCTCTCCTAATTATTCCATACTAAAATAAAAAAACATTAATTAATTTTTTTTTTATTTCGTCCATAGGGTAGGTTGTTCTAGTTCCATGTGTCATGCCTCTTCCGGATTTCTCAGTTATTTCCCTTTTAACTCATCTCTCCAAGTTGTTTTTACTCACCACTGCTGTGGCCTGGTATTGAATTCACAACTCTTTGGGTCTAGTCACTGGATCTAACCAATGTCTTTATCCACTGGGCCATGTGTCGTCGAGGACGAAATTAAGGTTTCGGTTCGAAATTATAATAACCTGAGGAAGGCCGGAGCATACAAAACGTTGTGAATATGCCAATGAAGATGAGGATAACACTCTGAATAATGTTAATAATGTAAATAAACATAATACCTAATCTCAGCGATATAGACTGATATAATGAAACTGATTAAAGAGTTAATTTTTATATAAGAAACAAAAGTCTACGAAATAGAATATAAAATGATATCTCCCAAAATATATTGGTGAAACATATCGATTTCAAAATAATAATATATGAACATGAAAATAGACATAAAATTAAATAAAACACGTAATGCACTTGCTTGTCATCAAAAACGTTGTGGTCAACATTTTGACCAGGAATATGAAATTTTGATAAAAAATGAATAGAATTTACGCAGTCGAAGATGCATTGAAATTGTTCCGATTTTCGTTCCACCGACCATTAATTTCAGTGTGTCTTCTGTACTTACTATATTAATTCTGAACCAATACCAGATGCATGAGCCTTAAAACATTTAAGTAAAATAAACAAATAATTGAAAAAAAAAAAAAAAAAAAAAATTTTTTTAAAATGAGTTGAAATCTAAATTTTACAACTGCCTAATTAAAAATTAACCTCTTAGGCATTCAGACACTTAATGTAAATGACACTTTTTTCTCGTTAATGTATATTTGGTGAAAAGAAGAAAACTTTGAATTAGTGCAATAAAAACGGAAATATCTAAAGAAGAAAATTTGTAAGAGAAAAGAAGATACCAAAAATATATTACGATGAAAAAGTAATATCGAAATGCAACAAAGATTAACAAACAAACAAAAAAAAAAAGAGTTAAATCAGTTTATCGCTCCTTTCATTAAAACTAAGACTGATAGAACAAGAAATGTACCAGTCAGTTAAGAGCCATACGTGATACATGTTTAGGCGATCATGTATCGAAGATACATGACTGACGAGGCAGATGTTTTCCTGCAGTAGGTTGCCATTTCTTTCTGCAGTAGACTAGTTGCCATCCAAGGCTACAGAAACCGGTCTGTCCTGCTATTTACCCACAGCTGGGGGGAGAAGAAGAGGATTCATACCTTTCTCAAGGGTATTTACACGTGAGTGAATGTAATAGACTCAATTAGAATTAGAACTTGGCTCTCAATCCGAGGCACTATCCATTCCTCCACCGTGCCTCCAAGAAATGTGTAAAGCGAATAAAAACCGAAAACAAATGTTATATTAAATAAAAAATAAGACATACAGGATAATTATCTTTAAACTTATCAACCACATCTATGATAAGCTGGTAAGACTTAGTGTAAACATATTCCTTTTATAAATACGCCATTGCATAGATGAAACATGTGACATCCTCTTTGATCATCCTGAATTTAGCATTCTTCGGTGTGGTGACTTCAATATTCACCACAAGGAGCGATTATTCCCATTCATTCAGAATTGATGAAGTAATTAGATACTGTCAGGATTTCTCTATCGTTTAGGATCTGACCCAAATAGTTGATAAGCTCACAAATGTTCAT